GAGGTGTGTTTTCTTTAAGATGTGACCATAAATAGATAAAATGCTAGTTTATAATATACAACATGGATCTGTAAAGAATTTCATTACAGAACATAAACTACTCTATCCTTTTCTGATTGGAGCTGTCCTTGGTCCTGATAGAAACAGAGTGAGTTTATGTAAAGGACATCACACTGACTTAAATTCATTGATTCATCGCAGAGAGTTAATCAAAGCTTTGACCAGTTGGCTCATTAGCAGTGGACTCGCTTTTATAGCAGGTCTCTCTCTCCACAACATCAACAATGCAACTCTCTCTCTCTCTCTCTCTGATATCACGCAGCAGAGAACGGGACCAGCGGTCCGTCTCAGTTTATCACGGACTGTGTCTGCAATGCGTTATCTCTCTACCCAAAGATTACACAGTTTTCCGAACGAATTCGTGACCGACTTGACGGAGCAACGCTGATCTTCCTGCGTAAGTCAGACCTTCAGCGGGCAAACTGCTGGAGTGAGGTTTTAATTCACAACTCTGGGCGCAATCTCTGCTCCGAGTGCAGGAAGAGCCAGACGGATCATAAACAGGTGCGTGTGATAAAGTCTCTCTCTCTCTTTTTAAATTAATCAGCAGCTTTAATCTAAAATGGTCAATTATTTTTAATCCTTGATCAGTTACCTGCAATGATCTGTTTCATTTGAGTATTGAGTTGGAGTCTAATATTCCTACACAAGTCTATACACACAGTACTCCTTATCTCACTATGTACCCATATCTTAGCTGTTTACTTCATTGTGACAACATGTTTGGTTTTAATAGGAGTAACAATGAAACTGTGCTTATAACCTTCATGGTCAGAGTTCAATCTTGGATTAAGAAGAGACGTTTGAGGACACTTAGTCTTGATTGTGGATGAAAGAGCTCCTTCATGTTTGATAAGTGAAGTGTGAATATTGTGCACTGACATGTTATGGAGCGATAATGCTAAAAGGAGTGTTTTTTCCATCCCTCTAAAGGAATTTAACCTGTGAAGTAATGACAGATTATAATAGTCATGTAGAAACCCAGTGTGCGTTTTTACATTATATTTGTACAATAATCTTTTCCTTTATTGCTATTTCAGAAAGATATAACTGCATATTTGAAGAATTCCAGTGTCCACTTATTGTTTACTCACCTTTTTGTTTGTTTGTTTGTTTGTTTTTAAAAAATGTGACCTATAGTGAAGCAGATTTTGCACAAATATCTTGAATTCTATTTCTACTTAAAATAATGCTGATTGGAGGTGTCCTGGTGGTCTCTGTGTTTTCAATACTGACCGTGTAATTGCAGTATTCCCGGTTTGTGTATTGATCCTTTAATTTCTCTCAGCACGCTGCTGTCACTAAGTAATAAAATACGTGATTAAATGCTCTGGATGGTACTGGATAACAGTCTGACTTGTGATATATGAATATTGGCTGTTTCAGAGTAAATGAGGTGACCTTGTTGGGGGATGATTTAGATGATATGGAGGGTGTTTCTACTGATAAAATGTGATCTCTTAAAGAGCAGCCACTGGCTTTTTTAGCAGCTTAAACTCTAGTTGCTCAAGGGGCTGATTAATGTGCTTGTAGAGGGAAAATAGTCCTATTTATGCAAAACTGTTTCATAAATATGCTATGAATTAGCTACTATTTAGCCCCCTTTAATATCTGTCCTCTACTTGATCCTTCCCCCTTATCACCACCCGGAAATTATTCACATGGGGTTCCTAAATGGGATGTAAATCATCACCTTGTCTCTTCAGATGATGTCTCATTATGTTATCAGTCGGCCAGATCCCAGTGCTGGCTTGCACTGTTGGATTCATGGCCGTAAAACGTCAGAAGCTCGTCTTGGATTTCAGATAAAGTGACCGTTTGTATTCATAGTAGCAGACTGCGACACATTTAATGTACCGCTGCCTGGAGGCTCAAACAGGTTTTATTGAATCACACTTCATTTTCCTTTTTGTGGGAGGTTGGATAGTTAATTCTCGTGACTGAATTAGTATTTTCTGTGATAATGAAACTTGGAGTCAAATGTAAAAAGAGAAAAAATGCTACAATGTTTTTTCCACTCGTTCTCTCTTTTGATTTCGCTCTGAAAGTGTCACAGCGACACACCTCAAGCCCCATCACAGTTTCTGTAATGGAAACCTCTTTGTTGAAGTTTGTATTTACATAAATATGCATAGATTTTAGAGGTTATGGTGGTGTTTTATGAATCTGAACATTGCTCTTTAATGGAATGAATTGAGACTGGGAAAGGTGCCAGACTGATGAAATATAAACATTAACTCTGTCATGAACCGTGTATTCTTTATTTAAGGAAGCTTGTTTCTGCCATTAAAATAACTCAAAATTTGAAGCTATGAGTCCCACAATACTGACTCTCTCAAAATTTCAGTTTACTTCTGAGTAATTTGAAATTTCATGATATCTAACTCAACTTAACTCAACTCAACTCCAGATTTTGTGATATTAGCCTGAAATTTTTACTCATAAACAGCAAAAATAATAAACAAATACATAGATAAACAAATAATACAACCAGCACATCCTGAAGTGTGCAGTTAGCTTAGCTTAGCATAAATATTGGGGGGAAAAAAGATGAATAACTAGCTTGTTTCCATCCAGGTGTGAAGCATATAGTAATCACAAAGCGCTGTTAAACAAAATAAGTAAAAACTAGGAATATGCACAATGAACAATGAAAAGAAAATTAAAACACAGCTGCTAGCAACACAAAACCATGTTAAAAAAACATGCTAAACTCAGACGGTAAAACAATAATACCAAAGGAAACTCAACAAATCCACAAAGTTAGCTAAACATAGCTGGCATTGTAGACTGTTTCAAAGTCCTGATGTTACAGACTGAGAGACTGTGTCCTCCCCCAGTCTTCAGTCTTATACTAGCTTCAGCTAAATGCAGCTAGCTGCAAACAAGACAGTGAGCAGCAGTGTGTTTATCAAGAAGTTGAGATAAATAGTCTGGAACAAGCTAATTTTCATAAACAGATACATGAACTACAAAATAGTGGAAGGCAGATTTTGTTCCTTGTAGCCAGTCACAGGAGCTGATTTCCCAATTTCTTTATGCTAAGCTAACAAGGTTCATGCTAATAATAGTATTCTCAGCCTTTAACCCTGTAAGAGTTTTTGAGACCTCTACATTATTAAAAAAAAAAAAACAAACAAAAACAAAACCCACAAACAGAACCCTAAATAAATTGCACAATATATATATTTTAAGCAGTAGATTGCAAAAGAAAATAAAAATGCTAGTTAAAATATAACTCAAATTAAAACTCATATATGCAAATTAATAATTATAATTTATGACTCCTTGTTTTTATTTGTCAGAGGGTTCAATAAACAGAATTTTCTGGAAATTATTTTGTGGTTCAGGCTTTTTAGGGGTTTTTTTTGTCATAATTGTGTAAATAACATTTTGAATTTTGCTAAAAATAAATAAAAAATTCACGTTTTATATGTCACAGGATCTTTTTTTTAAACTTTTGTTTGGTCGTAGTTTTTTTGAGGTTATAGTTTGTTTTTTTCTTAGTGTTTTTTTTTTTTTCTTAATGTTTTTTTTCTTATTTTTTTTTATTTTAAGCATCTTTTTTGGTGGTTTCTGTTTCCAGCTTCTTTTAAAGTGCCACATCCATCTCCCTTTTTCTCCTCCAGCTTGCTGCTTGGATTATTCTGTATTTTACACCGGCTGCTGGAGCTCACCCTGCTGTGGCCATGAGTGCGTGCAGCAGGAAGGCCTTGACTTTGCTGAGCAGTGTCTTTGCAATCAGTGGCCTGGGGCTGCTGGGAGTGGCAGTGAGCAC